TTTTTTTCCCCACTCTGGCGGGACGGATTGTTTTGCAAACACTAAGTACACCCTAAATGTCAAACTAAATTCTAAAAAACATGTCAATTAGTGTGTGGTGATATTCACTAGTTATTAATTTGTGTTTTGATTTAAGCGATTTGTGGCGGTAAAAATTTGAAAGAATTCTCTATCATTTTGTACAAATCGTCTTTACCTTTCGTTTTTTGATAATTTTATCCTCACTTTTCACTTTTCATTGTGAAAAAGGTACTTCTATCCACTTACTGTCAAATGTTCCATTAACTCAACAAAGGTTAATTAACACAAAATGTTCCCACCTTTCAATATTTTTGTGCAAAACGTTCCTATTTTTTCATTTTTGGCAATTTCACCCTCACATTTACCTTTCATTGCAGAAAATATCCTTCCATCTATCCACAGTCAAATACTCCATTAGCTTAACAAAAATGCAAATTCTTTTTTCAAAAATCAAGGATAATAGTCTTACCCAATTTTTTCACCGGCCTTCTCCCCTCTTTCAAAGTTAGCCATTCAAAATTAAAAGTACTATGAAAATAATTCATGCAATCATTCCAATAAAATAAATAAGAAATGACACAGAGAATACCATATTTCACCTTAAGAATAACAATGACTGCTATAATATTGGATTACTCATAAAATTTGGAACAGAAGATGATGAGATTGAATATGTGGTCGATAAACTGGAGATCTTCATCCCGAGTTTATGCTTATTAGAGGTGTAAATAAGGGTAAAATAAGAAGAACAATGATAAATGTGATGTTGTAAATTATCCATCAAATTTTAATGGTGAATGGCCCATCACATATGAATGGAGAAGATGAATTGGATATGTTCTTTTCTTTTAGCGTAAATTTGAACTTTTTAAAAAGTTAATGAAATTTTAGAAACATTTTATCAAACAAACACTTAGGCTTTCTCCTTCATCTCTAGCTACATGCCGTTCTCTATTTCAAATCTTAAAATATTGTTCTCTCTTTTACAAAATCCTCAAATTGCCCTTTTCATAAATGCAATTTCTTTCAAAATGATCAAAGGGTCATTGAATCATTAACAAGATTCTAAGTGCATTCTAGAATTCAAACACCCATTGAGGGCACGTTTGGTATGACATTTGAAAAATCAAAAAGCACCTTTTGAACCTGTTTGGCTAAATTCATAAAAGTGCTCTGATAATTAAAAGAGCTTTTAAAGGAAGATGATTCAATATGACTTTTTTTAAAAACATTTTAGGAATAGAAATCTCTTTTAAAATTTAGTTTTTAAATAAAAAAGAAGGTGGCTTTGCCTAAAAATTCTTTTACAAAAAAACAAAATCAAAAGCAGATGTCATGCCAAATGGATCCCAAGTGTCACGGTGCATTTAACTGTAACTATCATAAAGATTTAAAAGTTTCTGTTATCTTCATGTAAACAGAAAGTCAATAAATGTAATGCTGCAATTTTTGCTAGTCAATAAATAAATTTAAGGTAACTTTTTTTTATATACATCTGAATTTATAACCTTATGAGTTAAATTCCAACACACTGAATTCTCATCAATTCTTTAGCAATTTGAGATCAAAATCAAGGAATTAGGCAGTGGATTCTCAATTTTTGGTCTACAATATTCAAGAGCAGGTGCATTCTCATTGAAGAGTACATTAATAAGAACATACATGCATCCATGAAACCTGTTATACCAAACCCAACATACGCAGCCAAACCCATGTATGCGAACCCATGTGGCTGTGTATACAAACCTATGTGGCTGAACTCTCATGCAAGAGCCTCGACAGGTAGAAGCGAAGTCGAGGAAAGGACCTGGCAGGAAATCTTGTAATTATTTTTTATTGATGTGATGGCTCCCTGCCATCACCGCCATAGCCAACCTGTTCAGTCAAATCTACTGCCACAAGCTAGGATTTATGTATGACAAAGCGGTATTAGCATTTATGTCCTGTGATTGATTGATGCCCACTATAGGAAGTTCCAATCGCATAGATGAGGCTACGTATCTTTTCATCCGATGGTCCTTACTCATTATCCTATACTATAAAAGCTTAGTGTCATTCCAGGGTAATGGAAGTTTAGACTTCCATATTATGGCCCTGTTTGAGCTACATTTTTTCAAGAAAATACATTCTTCAACAGTGATTTGACATCATCTCAACCACATATTCTTCAATAAAATAATATTATACGTAAATCCAAAATTTTTCCTTATTTTCTTAACCACGCATTTCTTATCAATACACTATTCAAAAATACAATTTCATTTCAATAATGTAGCTCAAACAAGGGCTATAACTTTGCTTTCTTTATTCTCTATCTTAATTCCAAAGCCGATCCTCTTTGTCTTGGAGGCTCATGTTTAAATCTCTTCCACACTCATATGTTTGTTTTCCCAAAACTAACTTGACCATCGGAGTACACGGGGTCGGATCCACCCTTACCGGAAAAAGGCCACGTGTGACTAATGGTTTGTCTTAGTGCACAGGAACAAAGCCCACATGGACGTGAGAGGCCTTGGGATCTGTTTACACGTCAAAGGTGCATTTTTTGAGGTCAACAGAATGGCGCCATCTGTGAGAAAGTACACACTACAACCAAAAATATCCTAGTGGTGAAAGCCATCTTGAGAACAATTGTACAACAACCGGGCCTTGAAGAAAGGACAACAGGAAAAAGACATCGAGAAAAGTATTTGTTGAAATTTATTGATAACACAAGGATCAACGATACACTATGAGCTCAAGTATTATGGTTCCCAAAGCAGAAGTCGTCAACAGGAGGCTTCTAAAGAAGAAGTCCTTCGAACGAACCACCCATAGACCCCACCACCAACATCAACGAGGTGGCACTACCGCACGTCTGATGAGGGAAGTGGGGAAAATGGCAGAAAACATGAGAAACATAACCCAGCAAAATGCTATTATGCAACAACTACTTATGCAGATACATGGGAAAGCATGATATCAAGCTCCTCAATAGGAAACTTTTCATCAGGATGATAACACAGGGGCCTATCTACAGGGACAAACAATGGAGCCGAGCAATATCAAAAGGAAAGTAGGCACGAATATCCTCAAGTTATGCCCCAAATAGATCTGGAGATAACCTACCGTCGGAAGCTGGAAACTTCCCCCAGAATAGGCACAAGATTGGAACAGCAAAGGTCCGTAGTGTTTTTGACCGAATCGGAGCTTTAAGGCCTTGAAATAGGTCCCAACATCACTCCATGGCAGCAAGAATATGGCCTAGAGTGGGAGCCTCGAGAAGTTCGACCACCTAGAAATAGGAGAGAAATAAGGGGTATGGTGAACCTACAAAACCAAGTTGGAACATCCCAACCACATTGGTATCAAGCTGAAGAGGGTATATCAGATTGTCCATGTAGATATTTTGAACTAGACGATGACAATGAAAGTCTTCCATTTTCGTAAGAATGAAGGAATGCACATGTTCGGAGCCACTTGGTATCCCAAAAAATACTTAAGTACGAAGGGAAGAGAGACCCAGCAAAACACCTCAACAATTACAAGACTCACATGCCTCTCAAGAGAGCCTCGCCAATGTCGAAATGCAAAGCTTTTCACCTAACTTTATCAGGAGCTGTTGAAACCTGGTATAGTCGCATACCAGCTAACAGCATCAGAAGCTGGCCTAATCTAAAAAAGACTTTCTTGAATCAGTACCTTTCAAGTAAGGAGAAAGAAGCCTATCCAAAGGTTACAGGACATGAGACAACAAGCAGGTGAAACTTTGAAGGGCTATTTGGCTAGGTTTACAGACGAAATGACCCACCATGAATAGGTAACTAATAAGGGAGGCTCTATCGGCATTAAAGGGAGTCTTCAACATGGAAACTCTTTTTCTAGAGAGATGTACGGAATCAAAATCCTACCACCTATTATGCCTTAGCGAATATGATGAGAAGCGAAATAGTCAAGGAAAAATTAATCGATCATCGCAATCGAACTTCATTGGGGCTTCCACCTCTACAAAAACAGAAGCGAGGCCCCATATCACATTTGGTAAGCCAGCAATGGACCCAAGCTGAACACACAATCGCCCCTACTTCAGGCCAAGCTTTAGCTAATGCAACATCGAACACAGTGCCATCTTTATCTTATGAAGATGTTGGCTCCGACATACAAGCACGACCGAACC